GGGTTGCAAATTCTTCGAAATTCTGTATTTGTTATGGAATTTTGTGTTGCTTAACTCGATTCATACAAGACGAATGTGGTTGGGACATTGAACATGTTGGGTCTAGCGAAACGAGTCGGTGCAAGATTTCTTCTGACGAGTACGAGTGAGGTTTACGGAGATCCTCTGCAACATCCTCAGGTTGAGACTTACTGGGGAAACGTTAATCCCATCGGTAATTCCCTTAATCATCTTCTTAATTACTACTTTCTGCTTTCTTCATCGGCGCACGTTAGTACTGGTCAAATCGTGAAATAGTGGGTCCCATTCATCGTACGGCTGTAGGACGCGTCCCTTTCGTAGACGCATTCGCAGAGGATATTTTGCCACTTTCTTAATTTGACGTTTTTACCCCTACCGCATTAATAATTTGAGCAGCCTCTGGTTCCATTGATTATTATGAATATATTGATTGAGAATAGTGTTGTTGAATGGACTGGGGAACAGGTGTTCGGAGTTGTTACGATGAAGGGAAACGTACGGCTGAAACATTGACCATGGACTACCACAGAGGCGCAAATGTTGAGGTCTGTCTGCGTTTTCATTTTGGTTCTTCTCTCATCAGTTTTACTGATTGTAACAAATTTTTGGACTGATTGATTTACATCAGGTTAGGATTGCTAGGATCTTCAACACTTATGGACCAAGGATGTGTATCGATGACGGTCGTGTGGTTAGCAACTTCGTTGCGCAGGTGAGGGAGGTTTAAATAGTAATGGAATTGGCATAAATGAGTTATTAGATCAATGATTATGGAGGAGTAAAGTGTTGATTAATTACTTTATTAAGTAATGAAATGGTAATGATTATGCAGGCATTAAGAAAAGAGCCATTGACTGTTTATGGTGATGGTAAGCAGACAAGGAGTTTCCAGTTTGTCTCTGATCTGGTAAGCACTTTACTTAAAAGTATACACCTAATTATTATATAAAAACAAGGAAAAGTTCAATTCAATGTAACCCTACTGCTTCAAATTGCCAAAGACAATAATACTTTTTCTATTCAGTTGTTTCTTTCATAGGGTATATAGTTCAGGTTTGAAATGGTAATATATATAATTTCCTTAGTTATATTCAAAGATGTAGTGATCTCACTAGGATGGAATAAGTAGTTGAGAATTGATATTAGAGATTTCAATAGTTTAGTTTCATGTCAATGTCACTTGAATTTATAACTCTGCAAATTATATTAGATTAAAAAAAAAAAATTGATTACTACTATTTACTGCAAAACAACTCTCTGTGATAAGATTCTTGACCGGAATTCGTTAACTTGATGCGGAAAAGGTTGACCTGATGCCATAAAAAATGGTTCAGTTGTATAAAATGTGACATCAACTTTGGGGATGGGTATTAATATGACATGACCAAAAATGTGGTTTTTGTTTCTTTATTGTACCATGTCCTTGTTTTCTTGAGTTGAAAACATCAATCTTTCTTTTGTCTCTCTCCATTACCTTACATTGTTGTTTATGGGTAATTAAATATGAATTTTATGTGGTAGGTGGAGGGTCTGATGAGGTTGATGGAAGGAGAACATGTTGGGCCATTTAACCTCGGTAACCCTGGTGAATTCACCATGCTTGAGCTCGCCAAGGTCTCTACATTTTTCTGTTATTACACAAAATAAGATTCTCCATACTCTTTTGTATTTTGATTTGACCCAAATGAGTGAATTGTGTGGTGTAGGTGGTGCAAGAGACGATTGACCCGAACGCAAAGATAGAGTTTAGACCCAACACGGAAGATGACCCACACAAGAGGAAACCAGACATCACAAAGGCCAAAGAGCTTCTTGGTTGGGAACCAAAGGTGGCTCTACGCCAAGGACTCCCACTTATGGTCAAAGATTTCCGTCAACGTGTCTTTGGCGACCAGAAGGAAGATTCCACCACTTCATCATCAACATCGGCATGAGCCAAAAGGGTTGTAGTAACCACTTTGGTCCAAGAACCATAACGCATTTCAGCTTGTGGTAGAGACCGCCATCACCGCAGCAGCAGGAAATCATAGAGACAGGACAGCCTCG